TCACTCCATATTCAGATCAACTTTAGGGGACATACACAGTTGCCGCTTCTGGGCATATACCTAAAGGAGACATCAGCATATCGAAGAAATCAGCATACTGTATAGAATCAGTACATCAAAACCATTATGATCATATTCATTGCTGTACTATGCCTAATAATTAAGGTATGGAATCAAACTAGATGACCATCAGTGGATGAATGAAGTTATAGCTATAGTTATAGATATAGATATATCTCCAGCTATTAAAAATGATGTATTATGATTTGCTGCAAAATGGGTGGAGCTCACATAGTTGTAGCATAGGAACGTCCATAGGGATGAGGAACAGACAGAATCCTGAACCCTTTCTTTCTACCCATTAAAAATATGATTTGTGGCTTTTTCTGAGACAGTCAGGGACTTAAAAGCTTTCATCATGATCTGTGATGCTTAGGTTTACAGATGCCCAATGGAATACTAACAGCAGAACAAAGCTTGACTTTTATTTTGTACCCTTTTTACTATAAATCTTAGGTCAGGTCTCTTTTCAGTTCAACATAGGGGAATATCCACCATTTAAGAGATGTCTATTTAGGAACTGGCCAGAAAGGATTGGTTAATCTCACATTTGCATGATCTCATCTCCTTTCATGAGTGATGACACCAAGGTAAGAGGTTTTCAGGGACATTCACCTGCACCAAGAAGTCTCCAGCCATTGTCCTAAAGTTGAGATAACTTGGACACCAGCAGAGGGAGCAGCCCTCGTGAGCCAGGGCACTGCAGCAGAGGGAGCACCCCTCGTGAGCCAGGGCACTGCAGGCAGATGATTCTTACTGGAAATGGAATATCAGGGCTACAACACCAGGGCTGAGATAATGATTAACTGCATCGAGACTGTCTCCGGAATTTTTTTCTGTCATTGCTGTGACAAAATACTCAATACCCAAAATTAAGGAAGGAAAGTTTTGTTTAGCTCACAGCAGAGGTTTCAGTCCACATTTGGCTGGCTCTGAGGCAGAGTCACACTTGGCAGCAGGAAGCATTTCATGGCAGTGGAAAACAGCAAAGAGCAAAAGGGAGGAGCAGCCGCCTCTTTTGGCAGCTAGCAAGCCCTCTCCCTTTCTCATATTATATTCAGGATATCTGTTCCAGGATAGGTGTATCACTCACACCCATAATCCCAGCAGCCCTCACACCCATAATCCTCACATTGGATTATGAATTAATCACAACCTCTAGAATTCCACCCCATGACTGCATGAGGCTTTGGGGGGGGGGGGGTCAACCCGACACAAACCATAACACAGACCTCCCGGCTTTGCACCTGAGCCAGTTCTAAACCTCTGGTTAGTGCTTCTGCTCTACCTCCTGCAGCTGGAGTTCTTTCCTATCTTTATTTCGAGTTTTCAGTTAAAGCTCATTTTTTCCATAAATTTATGCTTTAGTTTTAATTTCCATTTCTGGTAAAGCGAGGACCTATGCTATCAAGAAACAACTAGAGGACTTTGTGTTAAAAGAAATGTTAGACACAGAAAGACAAATTCTTACTGTTCCCTCTCATATGTGTCTGAAAACATTGTAGATGGAGGGGCCATGGTACCTCTCTGAGGAGGTGACTTTCGAAGAAGTAAGTTATCTTAAAACATGGAAAAAATAAACCAGAGCCCTTTAGAGGAACAAAGCTTGCTAGCGCATGGAAGTAAATGGAAAGCCACTGAAACTTTCAAAGGGGATGAACTCAATTTGGTGCAACACTGAAGTGACTTTGTGATAAATGGGTGAGCGTGGTGAATCTTTCAACTAAGTCAAGAGTTTCTGGTATAAACTGAGTTTTGCCATTCAGGGAGTGCAGGTGGATACACTTTTAAAGGATGATTTTTAAATCTGCACTTGCAAAAGAGACTGATTTTCGCTGCATCACTTCGGGCTGGGCGCTTGATCTTCCCACCCACGCCACTCTGGAGGAGCTCAAATCTTCGCTGTGGAGCTCCAGTCTTCACAGTCAGCATGGAAGGAAGAGAGAGAGGCTTGATAGAAGCCACAGCTGCTCCTCCTCCGCTGCTCTTCATTGTTTTCTGCCGCCATGAACTGCATCTTCTTTGGAGCCAGCAGAGTATGGACTGAAACCTCCACTGTGAGCTAAATAAACCTTTCCTTCCTTCATTTTGAGTGTAAGGTATTTTTCCGAGAAATGAGTGAAAGGTAACTGAGACAGAAAGGATTGGTCTGAGTGTTCTGGTCACCCCCATGGATGTCTGATGCCTGTCTAGACTTACTGGAGCAGGCGGTTCTTGTCACAGTATAATCTCAAGTTGCTGTTTTATATATAAATGTATCTTTCTCCCTTCCTTCTTTTTTTCTCCTTTCATTCATCCCAGTTGTTCCTTCCCTTTGAATAGTTTCTTTCCTTTTAACAGTATCTACTGTACCTTTCAGATTTTATTTACTCTTTGAGGTTCTTGCGCTTGGGAAACAATACAGTGTTTGCACATGTGAGTCTGAGAATATTTGAGTGTAGTTTGATTGAGCTGACAGCAATACACTAGGGGTCAGTGAGAATTCTTCTGTGTCTCATGTATAGTTACTACAGTATATCCTGTCTTTCTTGTCCTAGTTTTTATGAAGGAACAGTCATCCTGAAAGAGCAGGTTTTAGTTTCAAATCAGGTTCAGTTTCATATCAGGTTTCAAATTAGGTTTGGTAAGAAGTATGTATAACAAATCTTATCTGGCTGTGTACCATAGGAAATTACATGTCTGCTGTCATGTTTTTCAGCTTCAATCTCCTCTGCTGGTAGAAAAAAAAGCAGGGTATAAGGAGGAACATGTCTTTACTTGGGTGGCTGGCCCTTCTAGAAGTAGACACTGATATTTGAGAAGCCATTTGTCTGATAGCCATAAGCACCCTTTGGAGGAAAGATGTCCTGCCATGCTGTGAGGCATGTATACACTGAGATCCTTGCCTAAGGTCAGTCTGGATGCTTCTGACATCAAAACAGCTGTGGCAGTCATAGCCCTAAGGCACAAAGGCCATTCTTTGGTATTGTATCTAGTTTACGACTCAGATACCCTATAAGTTTTTTGGAAGGTCCTGATCCTATATGAAAACTCCCAAGGCCACAATCAGCCTTTCATCAACATATACATTGAAATGATATCCTGTCAGGAGACTCAGTGCTGTGGCATTGGGAAAGCCTCAAAATTCTGAAATGCACTTTGCAAGTTGAGTTTCCAAGTTAAAATATGGGTACCTGCCTTTTGGGCTTCCTTTACTGGCTGGTAGAGAGGTTGAGGGATCTCACCATAACTTGCTGTCCATACCTTGATATCCAAAGGCAGTAAAAGCTTGTGATTTTAAGAATCTTCTTAATTCTTCTAGAGTCTTGGGCTGCAGGAAAGAAAATATCAGTTTAATTATTTTTTCCCTGAGTTTTCAGTTACAGTAGATATGATAGGATTCACATATTTTACCTAAAGGCTATGAAGGTGTACCCTAGACTTAGAGACCTTATAACCTTGGTCTTCAAGAAAATTCAGTTATTCAGGACTATGACTTGGGAAAATTCGAAACAGGCTAAGTCATGGAAGAGCACTTGTCTAGAAAGATGAGGACTGTCCCTGAATCTCTGAGGTAGCACAGTCCAAGTCAACTGAGAGGCCTGGTCATGAGGATGTTCAAACACAAAAAGAAATTGGGAATATAAATGTAAAGAAATACAAAAGATGGCTTCCTTGAAATTTAAAACTGAAAACAAACTAGCATTTTCAGTGAACTGAGAAAATAGCATGTAAAGGTTGGGGACCATCAGGTGGGTAGAGCACTCCTGCCTCATTTACCAATGTAAGATCCTGTTTCACTCTGTATCACTGCCACCTTTCACTGGCTTTTGGGACTCCCAGGATGGTAGTGCTGCAAGGGCTGTTTCAAGGTATAAGTAAAACTTGTGACCTTAGACTTTTGATTATAGGAAGAGTCATGTTTTAACCTCATGCCATAGAGGGTATTGTCTATGTTGAGGAAAAATAGTGAGGTCTATAAGAAGTATTTACACAGGTTAGCTCTTACTGGTCTTTCAATTTTATCTTGCATTGTCCATGATTCAGGATTTAGTTTTGTCTCGCAGAAGGAGGCAACATACCTAACTTGGGTGCATTATATAATAGCATTCAAACAAGATTTCTCTCCCCCAAAGGGGAACTTGATTTTCAGAGATGATTGAAAAAGAATGGAAAAAGAGAAAACCATCCCAGATACAGCCTAAAGGTTTGATAGTGTACTACTTCCTGCTGAGTGACTCATTTCACTGAGGTATTATAGCAGGAAGCCTGGGGTTGAAAAGAAGGACCAAAAGACCAGATCCGTTGTCCAGAAATAGGCTAGGTTGCTTTTCTTTCTATAGCCAGGATCACCTCAGCTTTCTTTGTGGAACTGACAGCCAAGTCAGAGGGAAAGGATAAAGATTGCCCCAGAGTCCTTCATTGTTGATAGTATGATAGGACCTTGGTTTTATGGGGCAGTCTGACTTATGAACATTATTGCAACCAAGGCCCTAGGGGTCCTCTGGCCCCTAAGGTCTTACCTCCATCCAGTAAAAATGGCCTGATTTTTCACAATTGTAGCAAGTAGGTTTAGTCATTGAGCTATTCTTGATGTCCTAAGAATCAGACTCAGAGTTTCCTCTTGTGAAGGCAACAAGCAAGGCAGACATTCCCCTAGTCTCTTTTTTTCTCTCCTTGACCTTTTCCCATCTTGAATGCAAAACACTGAGGCAAGAACTCTCACTTAGAACACTGAGTGAGCTATTGAGAGCAAAAGCCATGTTTTGTAGCTTTTTCTCAATAGTTGTGGCAGACTGTGTAATAAAGTTTTCCTGAAGAATAATCTGTTTTACTGAATCAGAAGTCAGAGACATACACTTTACCAAGGCTTCTTATAAATGATCCAAGAATGCAGAGGTTCTCTCATCTTTTCCTAATTAATAGTTGACAAATTAAAATAATTAAAGGGTTTAGTCCTCATCTTTCTTAGGCCTTCAATGGTACAAGTTTGAAAATGTATCTTATTCTAATCTCCCTTCTGGTTGATGGACCAGTAGGGATCTTGCATAGGCAGTGCCTGGATTCCTGTAGGACAGTCCCTCTTTCTGCCTCGCTTCTGGTATTTTGAAATGAACAATATGATATTTATCTCTGTTATGGTTTATACATAGGTGTTTCACCAACACATGTTTACCTCATGTATGGGCTGGGCAGACAGCTCAGTGGCTTAAGTGCCTGTATGGCAAGCACAAGGTTCTGAGTTCGATCCCTGTTTAAAAAACAAAACAAAACAACAACAAAAAAAACCCACTCATGTGCTCATCAGTGTGGCTTTTTAGAGCTGGGTAGATCTAGGTGACCAGAATGTGGATTGGGAATATGCAGTCAAATGCTCTACCACTGAGCTATACCCCCTCTTGGATTGGGAATATGGATTAAGAGGGTACAATAACTAAATCAGTCCATGGATGATCTGAGTGTGGCTGGGTAAACTTACTGAAAAGGAACACTGTATCCTGGATGGAACATAAATGGGAAGAAGGCAGCCTGTTGTGTGCTGTTGCCCTTGTTTTCCTGCCCTGCCATGTACTGTTTCTCTGCTGCCATGCCACCCTGCCTTGGAGCCAGTTAACTACGGAGTGAACCTCTACAAGCTGTGTGCTAAAATAAACCTTTCCTCTTGAATATTTTGCCCCAACAATGAGAGGGTGACTAAGATAATCTTCAACTGTAATAACAGCCTGTAGTGATTTTTGTTTCTCATGAGAAGTAAATGTTTGGAGCTGGGAAGATAGCTCAGCAGGCTTAGTGCCTGCCTGGCGAGCACAAGGACGTGGGTTGGATCCCTGGTACTGCATGCCATGCCAACTGTACCAGCTACTGAATCCAGGCATGGTAGAACATGCCTGTAATCCCATCACTGAGTAAGTTGAGACAGGAGGATCACTATAAGTCCAAGTTATTTATGGAGACACTGTACCAAATAAATAAATAAAAGGATTTAGAAAAAAAGTAAATGTTTGATTAAGAGGCAACATTACCCCTTTCCAATCCACTTCGTAGGTCAGAGCAAATCTACTAAAGATGTTAATTTAGATAATCCAACCTCAAGTGTTATCTAAAAGCTTTCCCAGATCTTGTTTGATCTGTTTGAGGTCACTAAGAGCAGAGAACACAAGGACAATAGTAGGAATGAATTATCCAACCACCTCTGTTATGGTTTGTATATTGATGTCTCCCCAAAGCCTCAGGCAGTCATGGGGTGGCTGGGCTTCTGGAGTTTGTAATTGATTCTTGCTCCAATGCTGGGATTGCAGGTGTGGGTGCTACACCTGCCCTGGAGTGGGTAAATGCATTACAATGTAAGAAGGGAGAGAGGCTAGCTAGCTGCCTGAGCTGCTGCCCTTCTCTTTGCTCGCTGGTCTTTGCTGCCACCATGAAAGGTTGCTCTCT